TTTCCCAACGTACTAGAGTAAGTAAATGCCCTGATGAAAATATATTTCAAACCAGCTTGTTTGAGATTACCCCGTCGAGTCCTTTCTCATGTATGTTCTCGTGGCATATATCATGTAAAGGAGAGTCAGGGAGAAGGAAGGCCACAAGAAATTACAGAAGCTAATTGCTGCAGATGAATGCCAGCATTACCAATTCAAGTACACGCAGAAAAGCAAACAAGTCATTAACATGGGTGTTCCTTTCACTTAGGGCAAAGCACAAGGCTGAGAATTTTCTGATACTTTAGGGAGTGCTAAATACAGAAGACTTGCTAAATTACCTCGCACATGCTTAATACAACACCCCCCCCCAAAGTGCCTTATTAAAAACCACTTTTGCATATTTAAATTGATCAAAGACTTATTCTGAGGTGCATCATCCCCCCCTTAGACTTGTTTGCTCACTTGTTTCCTTGCCTTGGGAAGCATGGCCAATTCCTACCCTTACAAACTGGCCAAGCCTCTGCTGCACCTCACGGCCACCAACCCATCAGAGGGCTCAGTCTCCCCCATGACAGCCTTGATCTACCGAAGCTCCATCTCTCCTGCCGCACTGCTACAGAAGCAAGCGCTCCATCTTCTCTAGGCTTCGCCCAAGTCTCGTGATTCCTTCTTACATACCAACCCCACACACCTACCCCTAACTCCACCTACAAAACTAGAGCAAACAAGCTCTGCCTTGAGCACGGAAGACGAAGCAGCCCCATTTCCTGAGGACTCAATCTCGGAGGTCACTAATTGTTATCTAAGAGGTTATGACATCTTTCTCCTATTGATTAGTACCATTCAACTTATATTGCTGATGGGCCACCATGATGATGAAGTGATTGGAACATCTCTCCCATGAAGAAGGGCTATGAGAGCTGGGGCTGTTCAGCCTGGAGAAGAGAAGGCTCAGGGGGATCTCATCAATGTACATAAATACCTGGAGGGAGGGTGCAAAGAGGACTGAGCCGGGCTCTTTTCGGTGGTGCCTGGACCAGAGGGCATGGGCACACGCTGAAACACAGGAGGTTCCCTCTGAACATCAGGAAACACTTTTTTACTGTGAGAGTGACCGAGCACCAGCACGGGTTGCCCAGATGTGATGGAGTCTCCATCCTTGGAGATATTCAATAGGCATCTGGACACGGTCCTGGGCAACTGGTTCTGGGCAGCCCCGCTTGAGCAGGGGGTTGGACCAGGTGACCTCCGCAGGCTCCCTCCAGCCACAACCATTCTCTGACGCTCAGCCAAGGCACTAATTTCACTTCCCTCCCCTGCAAGCCTGTCTCCACAACACAGACATGTTCTTGTCGGTTTTGAGACTCGGTCCCTGTCAAGCTTATTTGAAATTAGGCAATAGGTGCAAAAATAGGTGTGCAGGGGAAGAAGGCAGCAGGCAGACATATCCAGACAATACAATCTCACAAGACACGTTTCTCCCTGGGAAACCAGAGTGTTAAAGGGCAGTGTTAGCCATTTAAAGAGCCATGATAACCCCTTCTGGCTTCAGAATGGGATAATAAACAACTCTTATACCACTAAGAGAGACTCATTGGTCTCCGTTGCAGAAAATTTCCCCTTAAAGTACCTGAAAAAGCATTTTGAGCTCTGGAAAAGTACAAACTAAAGTTAGTTGCTACTAAAAATGCCACGCTAGGATCAAATGGGTTTCCCACCTACTGGACTGGCTTCTTCAAACGCACCTGGAGTGAAACCACACAGGCTTAAGCTGAGAATTTACTTGCAAGTCTAGGCTGACTCAAAATAACCACAATTTATACCAGACACCGAAAAAACCCCTGGCTCAACCACACAGCACAGCTGCATGCAAAACCCCCACCTATGACATGCAGTTATTTCTATTTCAGATGCAAAGAGGGGAAAAAACCCCACGGTGTAACTAGCTGTTAAATTCTAAAGTTGGCAACAAATGCACAGATATATAAAGAAATTAATCATACGTCTTGAAAACACTTCCCCAAACCAACCATGCGATAAAGGTAGCTCCAACAGAGTGATTAACTCACAAAAGCAACTTGGACTTCAGAAAAGCCCATTCTGCTCGATCAGCATTTCCTATTTTAAATAACTCCAAGGAGTAATTAACAGCTCTGAACACAAAAAGTACTTATTTAACTGATGTAAAAAAAAAAAAAACAAAACCCCTTACTTTTTTAGATAGGTTTCCTTGTCTTATATCCCAAAGAGGAATACTTCCGTATCGTTAGGAACCAGAGAGAAAAAAAATTATACGTATATTTTCAATCCTCCCCCCCCATATCAGCTTCTGACTAGTTTTTCAGTCACCGGTGTTACTCACCGACCCAAACTGATTTTAGAAACTGGCTCTTTTGTTTTCTAGATCAAGTAAAATGAGGAAGTTTTACCCTGAAATAGGAAAGTTATTTCCCCCACCCTACTAATTTAAACTAACAACCAACGCTAATGTCAAAGATTAAGCAATACACGCCGGAATTTTTCCTCCTCTGTACTCACCTATCCCTCAGCTGGTGACAGGGCAGAAGCAGAGTGGAGATGGCAATTTATAGGACACTGCCTCTTTTGAAAGCCAATCAAAAGCTGGCAGAAAGTAGGAGTTGTCCTACACCTTAAAAAAAAAAAAAAAAAAAAAAAAAAAAGTATGCGGGTGAGAGCAGCAGCAGCCAGGGATATCACTTGTGATTTGGAAATGCCTGCAACTCTGCGATAGGCAGAGGACTCGGAAGCTATGCAACCCGCTCCTTTAACTAACAGAACCCTACAGCCCAGGGTCATCTCTGAAGGACGGGTTTTCAACTAATGGGTTGCAGCGCAATGGATTCGTATAAAGCAAACACACGTACAAAGGTAAAGCAATAATCTCCCTTGGATAGCAGGAAGTTTCTGAGTTTTGTAAGAAGATTAAAGCACGGGGAGAGGGAAAAGAGGGGGGGGAAGAAACAGGTTCATAAAATGGCATTTAGCAAGATACCTGCCAACTGCTGTCCCCTTGCAAGATGTCCAGAGTGTTACATAAGCAGCAAGCACCTGCTGCTCACGTAAAAGACAAAAATGTATTTCTAGAAGCCAGTAGTTTCTTATGTATTAGTTATTAATAGAGCGTTACGGTGATGAGAAAGATAAGAAACTCGTGGGTTTGGTCTGGAAAAATCCCATGACAGTCAGCTTCAAAGAAAAGGAGAAAGAAGGAGGAGAGAAACGTCAGAATCAAACCCCAAATCTCCCAAAGCATTTCTGGGGGCTGCACAGCTGCTGTGGGGTGCTCCTCCACAGAGCTAACCAGAGAGGTCCAAAACTTGCTTCTTTCAAAGAAAGTTAAGATCCTCTTTAGGGCAGGGGATCTTGCCGGTTGCCCACCACTAGTACTTTGAAAACGACCAACATCCTTGGGCATATGGTTGCCACCAACACACTGAACTCAAAAGCTATCGATCTCAACTCATGTCTGTCTCCAAAACCACAGTTTCTGGTTCAGACCTGAAGACAGGCTTATGCACTGGAAAGCTCCACTATTTTTTCTAATTGTACCGAGAAGAGCTCGAGTGGAAAGATACTGCCCGCCCTGGGCACCCCGAAGATGAAACGCACGCCACCCTGCCTGTCCCACGGGAAAGCCTTACTCCCTGGTGCCCAAATGCTGCCGACTGCACAGTCCATCGGATCTCGGCATTTTGGAGCGCTCAGGCTGCAACAACTAGGGGATACCCTCAACAATCAATGCAGCCTGGATAACGGAACAGACCAAAGCCACTACACGTCCCCTGCCGGCATCTGCTCCGGTTCAGAGAGCCCCAAACTGGGGTTAAGGGGTCCCTGCGTCCCTCCCTGTGTCCCCTGACGTGGTGGCTGTGCCTGGGCAGGGCAGAGGGGTGGCCGGGCTTGGGCTGCTCTCTCTTGGCCAACCTCAGTTCAAATAACCTTGACACACAGGCACACGGGCGGCCTCGGCGGCTCGCTTTACAGCGGTGACGCACGACGCCGTGCCCCTCGCCAAGGCTGCCAAGGAACGACGTCAGCCTGCAACGCCAAGGGACCGGCTACAAACCTGACCTCAGCAAACCCACCCCCCACCCCC